GGTACCAATTTTAGATTTGCCAAAGAAGAAAAACCAAGAGCACATCTGTTCACTTTCATAAAAGTAAGCCCAGATATAGATGCATATGTCTTCTACAAATGATAAACAGCCCTTCATAAACTAGGTACATTCCCTCTGCTTTCCCCCCACCTGGAAACCTCTATTACATTTTTCCGCAAACCCACCTTGTGTTCTATCCCTCTTGAGCCCACTGAGTCACATTCCTCTTCCAAAGGTAAGAACTGTAGACTAATTATGTCAAAAATATGTAGTGAAAAACTGTCAGCATACTGTCAAAACATGGCTTTGCTTCGCAGGTCTCCAAGACTTGTTTTGGAACTGAGGTGAATTCCGAAAGCATACAATGTATTTTATCTTCACAATCCCACATTTTTTGTAATGTACATTCAACATTTGTGCCTAACGAGTTGTAGACCACCAGTTTCAGGCTGCTGCAAAACCTTGCCAAAAAGAGGAGAAAAAAAATGGACTCGCTGCCATTTAAGCCCATTCCCTAGATCAGGGATATGGGATATGTGGCCATCCAAATGTTTTGAACTACAACCCCCATCAGTGCTAGCCAGCATATGCATTGGTGAGGGAAGACCAAATTTCTGGTGGGCTAACAAGCTGCCCACTTTCCAACCCTCTGTAACCTCGTATCTTGGCTTGTTTATCCCACTAATCCAGAACTCTGGCTTACTCTACCCATCATCTTGTTCCAGCTGCTGAACTCTTTTGGACAAGGTTTAACTCCCTCCCCCTGCCCAAGAAGAACAGCCCTGTGAATAACCACTTGACTTTACCAATTTGAAATTCATGCTTTCTTCCTCCTCTTCTGCTACTTATTTGGGCAAACAATGCCAGTACCAAATCCATTGCAATCACTTTTGAAGTTCTACTAAAAACTTCCCCTTTGCTCCATTATTTCTCACCCACAACTTGCCTCCATCTTCAATCATGTAAGGGAAGGAAGCGATAACAAGAGCTGAGATGGTAACCAGCAGTCAAGAGGGAATAAGATCAAGGGGGAAGTAGCAGCGTTAGCGGGGCTTCCTCCTTAAGAGGTATGAGGAAGAAGGAAAGGGCTGAAGGAAGCAGGTGAGGTTGTCCGGAAGACAGACAGTACGGGTGAGAAGCAGAATGCTTCACAAACAAAAAAACTTCACAAGGGAGATTCAAGGGCAACATCGCTAAAGGACTTTAACAGTACATTTGAGTCTGTTTAGAATTCACTGCTGGTGTTACACTAGCGTAACAAAGCTAGGAAAATTGTGTTATCACTAATCACTGCTGTGGTACACAGTCACTTGACCTATCTTGTAAAGACTTCACATTTGAGCTTTGGGAGAGAAATGTCACCTTTAAACATTTTGCGGCCCACCATTTATCACTTTTTAATTTAAGTTGGTGAATGTGTTTGCTTATGCTGGTCTGCACAGTTCAAAGATTTGTTCTTCAATCCAAATTCAGCACAAATGGCTGTATTATTCAGGTTGCAAGTTCGTGTGTAGTTACCGGCTCTAATGGCAATCTATTAACTCCAAAACATTAACATGCCGCATAATCTTCATATCTGCTTATAGTTAAAGTGGTAGGAGAAAAGCAAAATGCTAATCAGAACCCCTGGTTTTATGAGCTCTTTCCACATAAACTATCAGGGCAAGGAAAAATGATTGCCAATAGAATGCACATTAATTCGGAATGCTAATACTCCATGAAAAAGCTTAAAAGGACAATTGCTTGCTTCCCAGTAATGAGAGCCCTTGTTCAGTTGCTGCTAACAAAAGTGGATGTGTGGAAAAGGGAAGAGAGAAAACGGAGCACAGCAACTGTAGGATAAAGGGCTATATATTGTACACCCCTCTTACATATTGTAGCTGGCACTATACTGAATTATAAGAGAAGGAAAGCAGGAGGAGAGATTTGGAACTGGGCCTGCATGAAGTGCTCTTTCCATCAGTTCTGCATACAACTGTGTTCTCGGCGGCCTGCTTGGGAGCTATTTACTTTTTAAATATATAGATAGAAATGTCTCAGTTAATGTGTGGGATAGAAATCAAATAATCACTATAACATAATAGCGTCAGTGAATCTGAAATCAAACAACCTAAGTTTTAAGACAGTATAGCAACCACAGCGGTTATACTAAATATCATAGCAATAATGAACAAAAAGTTGACAAGAAATATAAATTGTACAGTCAGACAGAGAGGAATGCAATCAATTTGACAGATAACTGAAGATTCTGATTTTTAAAGTTGTTACTGAAAAAGAAGCACGGTTAAGGTAATATACAAAGGTCTACAAATAAATCTTCTTTTAATTAAAATAAATTTCTTGTAAGGGTGTTTCTAGTGTGCTTCAATTAATTTATAGTGGGAATTTATCAATAATGAAATCATCATGTCACCTCTACCATATAATAATCTATCAGTTTTAATTCTGAAGCAGCATAACATGTTTATGCAGGAGAGTTGTCAGCACGGTTATTCAACTTTATAAATGAGGGAAAGGGTATCATACGATTATAGAGAAATATCCTATGCATCGTGTGTTCTAAAGTTAGCCTCATTTCTTTGGGGACTGGTATCTAATACAAACAATAAAGTTAATGCCAGTCCTCCAGATCAGTATAATGTAAAGGTATGAAAAGATCCAACCTTACATTTAATCCTTTTACTGTAAGGAATTGTAATCTTACAGCACAAAGAAACTCATACAAAACTGTTAGGTAAGATCAAAGAGGATGGATATTTTTTCATTGTTGATATATTCAGGAACCCCAGCTGGAGAGAAAACAAGTATTTTAGCAATGGAATTCTAGGAAATTATCATTAAACTGTTTCAATTCTAATATTTTTTAGCAATAGTATTTAATAATTTCAATCCAGAAGCTATTTCCACAGATAGAATTTGAATTTTGCCACACCTTCATTAAATTCAATTAAGCATATGCACAGCCTAAAGATTGCCAGGAATTAGTGTCAACAATTAATATAACATATTGTTCTAATATCTTTTTAATGTCTATTATTCTCAATAAATTTTAAATAACAGTTGTCTCAAAATTTATCACTTCAAGCTTTGTGATGCAGTTTGTACACAATGCAAATTCATGGTTCAGGGTTGCGTGGACAGCACACCTGAGTGAAGCATTCAGTTTGCACCTCCCTTTTGCTCCTACATGGCCAGAACAAGGAGCACTCCAGAATTCGGTCTGACTTTTTAAAAGGCTCACCTTAAAGTTGTATTCAATTCAGGAAGACTAGTTCAAAACACGCCTTTGGATGCAACCCTATTCAAGTTAGCCAGAAAAAAGTCCTGCAGCTTCCAGCTTCCCCCAGCTAACTACACCTAGGCGTTCTTGCTTAAGGTGTACTCTAATTTTCTCTGTGCTCAGTGTGCATTTACGTCTCCAAATGCAGAGAAGTATGTCCCTCTGATGCAAGGTCGGAGAGGCAGCAACAGCAATTTCTGTCACCCCACACCTTGTGCCCTTGACAGCTCTTTGTGCTAGCCCAACAAGACATTTTTTCCAAGCAGGAGTCCAGCTGTATCCAAACAGCACCCTAAGCTCCTCTCTTCTCTGCAGCGCTTTATTTAGACAGTCTGCAGATGGAGCCTTCCCCTCTCAGTAAGTTTATGGTCTTGCTGGGGTAACATCTTGGTTTCAATGGTTGTTTAGATCATGGGTCCTCAAACTACGGCCCGCCACGCTGATTTATCCGGCCCACCTCAGAGCTTTTGGACTTGCTCGGAGAACACGATCTCCAAACGAGTCCGAAAGCTCTGAGCCGGTGCAGGTATACTCAGTGGGGAGATGGCTGCAGTTGCAGCCATGCGGGGAAGATGGGCGCGATCGCGGTCGTGCTGGGGGGGGGGGGGGAGATGGCCACAATCGCACCCACCTTCCCTGCACGATCTTGCTCAGCGGGGGCGGGGGGGATGGCCATGACTGCAGTCAGGCAGGGAAGATGGGCGCGATTGCAGTCATGCTGGGTGGGGGGGGGGAGATGGCCGCAGTCATGCCCGCCTTCCCTGCATGAGCAGGCCCATCTTCCCCACATGACCGCGATCATGTCCATCTTCCCCCACTGAGCACAATCACGCCTTTCTCCCCCCACCAGTACGATCATGGACATTGTAGCTACGTCCCTTGAATATGGACATACTCTTCCCTACTTCATCTTGGGCTTCTGCTGCAGCCCAAGCAAGCGGAGCAAACATTTTTAAATTATTTTTAAATGCTATTTAATTTTAAATTTATTTCAATTTTAATTAATTTTTAATGTGCAGTGTGCATTGGAATTTGTTCTTTTTTTTTTTTTTCCAAACTATAGTCCCCCCCCCCCCGTTTAAAAAGTTTGAGGACCCCTGCTTTAGATGGTTGCCTAATAACAATAAAATGTTTCATCTTTGTGAAAAACTCACATTTTGTGATACCCTCTGACAGCAAACCCAGGTGGCAAGCACCAAGAGGAATGAAGTCGAAATGAAGAGTGAGATATAACCATACTTTGAGGAGAAGTACAAAAAAAAAAATTAAAACCACCCCCGTCCCCCACAAAACGAACTGGTGAGAACTGAACTGAACAAAACATAATGGTAGTCATAGCCCTTTAAAGTCTGTGTATATGCATCATGTGTACCTCTCTGTCTCTATCAGTTAGTTTTAAAAAGGCTAATAAGAAAGATATTTCTATCCCTGCATTTAGTGAAAAATATTATCCATTTCCAGCATGTCTAATCCAGTAGATGGAGCCTGGTGTGCATTAAAGTCAGGAGAGCATTGCTAACTGTAGCTCCGGACTTCATTATGGAGGGCGACCTCCTCTGAAAAGGATGAGGCAGCCGCCGCAGCAATGCTTGCTGCACTGGGCAGAATCCATTACGGGGGAACCCATGACATTCATTGGCTCATCGCAGCAAAGGTAACAACAGCATAGCTACAGACACGTGCCACTGGACATCCATACAGAACGAGGAGCACACCTTACCTGCCTGGGCAGCAGTAATCAGAGCCGTGTTCCCTTCATTGTCCTGCCAGTTTACATCGATATGAGGGCACTGTGCTAAGGCTATGACAATATCCACAAACCCTTGGTAGCAGGCAACAATAAGGCCAGTCTGTAAATTAAAAGAAAAAAAAGTTGGAGGTTAAAGGGAAGCCAAACTCAGATACTCTGAACCTCATATCTGATTTCAGGTATTTTATTTTTCAACGTAATAGAAAGTCAAATTCCTCACGAAAAGGTGTAAAATCTGAATGTTCTTACGATTTCTAACTTATTTTTAATGCTTAAATTTTGTACTTTGTTGAAATCCAAGGAAACAATCAAAAATAAAACTACATAAAGTTAAATTAGTAAGATAACTCTGAAAATCAATACATCAGTATAAACTATTGAAAACTAAACACCCAAACAAGGCATTGAAAGCAATACCAAGACACAGACCTAGATCTTGAGAGCTTGTGGAAAGGGAGGGGGAGGGGAAGGGGAAGGGGAAGGGGGAGGGGGAGGGGGATTATCCATTTAAATACCAGGAAGCACTTCCTGACAGTTAGGACCCCGAGGGTATGGAATGGGCTTCCACGGGAGGTTGAGGCCCCATCAGTGAGGGTTTCAAAGATAGGCTGGACGTGCACATGGTGGGCATGTCATGAGTAGAGCTGGAGCCGGGGGTCAGACTAGATGGCCCAGGAGACCCCTTCTGACTCGCTCTGTTTCTCTGTTTCTTTTTCCGAGTAATTCTGAGGCTGAGATTTCTTTGGGAGAAAGCCGCCTAATGGCTGGAGATCTAAATATGAATCTACATGAAATTGGTATGTGGGGCTAAGAATTCAAGTGCCCCAGAGGAGGCTGAATGTATCAGAATGTGGGAGCTGTTTTAAAATTGCAGGATTTCCTCGGGACTAAAAATAATGTTTTGCTGATTTCTTGGGGACTAGAGATGGCTATTGCAACCGTGATTAAGGCACGGTTTATGCTACCACCCTTTGGTCCGTGTGGGAGCCCTTGCTATAGCCCTCCTGCTCCAAGGGCACAGAGTAAGCCCTATCTGTGGACAGGATCTCCATCTGCTCTGTTGTTGCTGGTCCAACAGTGCTGGGGAGAAGAGGCACCCTGGGTCTGTCTCAAGGGAGACACCCCAAACCCTGTATGTGTCCTCTGGACAGAAGTTTACCAGCCCTGGAGCTGACCCACTTACTTTGCCTGCCTTTGAGACCAGAGGGGCATTAAAAAAATTAATAATTTGGTGGGTTAAAAACAGGAAACAACAGTGCCCACCCTCTGCTGCAGACTCTGAGAACCCAGTAAGGCTCAGGCATTCCTTCACCATGGTGTCTCCCTCTCTAACTGCTACAGGGTTGCTCTAGAGACCCACTGAAGAGGCTTTGTATATTATTTAATTTTAGCTATTCCCAATAGCTGAAACGCTCTAGGCAGCTGATCAAGGTAGATAAAAGCTATACAATAAAAATGCCATAAACACCATCAAACAATTCATTAAAATAGCTAAAAATATGCAAATGAAGAATGACCCAGAATGGGTACATCCCTCAAGACCCCGGATAACCAGGTTTAACTTTAAAAACCTCAAGATACAGGGCCAACTTAATCTGTGCTACAAAGATGATGTGGACCCCAAGCAGACTGCAGTGGGGAGGTCATTCCAGAGATGGGGGGCCCACCACAAAGGAAGCCCCCCTCTTGTTGCTGGTCCCCAAACCCCCTCACAGCTGGCACTCAGAGGAATTCCCCCAAGACAGAACACAGTGTGTGGGTAGTTTGTGTCTAGGAGAGGTGCTCTGTCAAATACTGTAGTCCTAAACTGTGGAAAAGCTGCATAAATTAAAACCAGCATCTTTAATTGGGTCTGCAAGCATAGAGGCAGCCAATGCAAGGGGGTTCAGGTCTATGGGTCGCAGCTATTACTCTGGCGGCAGATTCTGAACAGCCTTCAAAGGCAGCCCGACATAGAATGCACTACTGTAATCTAATTTAGAGATTACCAGAGCACAGATTACTGAAACCAGGTTATCTCCATCCACCTGAGACTCATGTGACAAAGATGGATTAAGGAGAACTCCCAAGCTATGAACCAGTTCCTACAGGGGAAAACACCCTCCATCCCATTTGTTGGAAGATGGTCTGCCCCCCAACCGTCCCTTTTCTTTCTCCAGCAGACTTAGACAAGACCTTAGAAGCACAATCTTTCTATGAGAACTTCAGAAATTACACAACAGCTTCAATCAATGTAGCAACTTGGCAGGGTAATCTCTCTCAATATAGCCCACAGTACATTAAATCTATGTATAACAACGTATTACAAATGTGGAAGCTCAGACTTAAGGAATACTTCTATGTCTATGGGCACTTAGTGAGTTTATAACTTTCAGCAAGTCACTGATTAAGATGAAGGGGAGAATTATTTGGGCAGGGAAAATTTCCTGCACAAACTCTACCGAAATGAATGGGAAGTGCACAGAATGCTCTTTCCTGCGGATTATCCCTTTAAAGTACAGCAATAATATTTCATTGTTGTTCTGCTATCTCTCCAATAATGGCTAATATCCATGAATATGTCCTTCCATCACATGTGCTGGAACCCTTGGATAATCCACTGCTCTGCCTTCCTTATCACGTATTAGCAACAATGGAGAATGGAAATGGGTCCCCATAATCACACAAGTTCCATCACATTTCAGTTCCATCCCTGAACCTGTCTGCTTGATTACTTCCATTTGTACCAAATACTAAAAAAATGCTGATTTGGGTAAATCTCTCACAAAGGCTCACATATGTGAGCACATTTTAATTGATACGGGGCATTTAATCCACAGTGCCCATTAGGGACCGATTATGAATTAGGAAAGTTTGTAATTTATGTTAGTTGCTAAGCACGATGATTTCCATTATTGAGGAATTAATCTTTTTAAGATGTGAAATTCTAATCATCCCCAGCAGATGCAGAGAATGCAGAAATAAAACAAGACAGATCCCCAAATACTGGTGTCTTCATTCTGTAGGGCAGTAGAGGATTAAGAGTGCTCATAAAACATTTATTCTTCCAAAAATTATGTTAGCATAATTAAAAAAATGTTTGCATAATACAAGAATGGCCAATTTTAGGATTATAGAAAGCTTGTGAATGAAACAATAAGTTTATTACCTACATCCCAACCATCTCAAATATAAGCCAAATTAAATGTGCATATTCTTATGCTTAACCACAAGATCATATAAGCAAGAGGCAATGCAAATTTGTTTTACAACAGTTTATCAAACATGCCACATACAAAATAATTTAGAACTAAATTATAATAAAGTTTGCACTATGCAGCATACTGAGTACAAATACCACATAATTTTTTTTACTTAGTCTGTCACCCAGTATTAGTCACCAAGTCTTCCACAGAAATGTTGCACTGTCATCTATATCACTCAAAATGTGGTTTCTTTCTACCATTCACTCTAAGGTTTCTTCCCCTTTTTGTTTTGCCCATTTCTTTCTGCATGAGTCTCAGATTTTCCTCTTTCTAATTTTTGTGATAAGTGTTGCTTACATTTATAAGCATCTGTTTGTGGTGGGGGGTTGTTCTTAGTATTCACTTGCTTGGTTTTTAATTAACTTTTGAAGACTAAGAAAACTGGCTGCTTATTACTAAAATATGTTGACTAGAAACAAAAATGGATATGTCTCAGGGTAGAAATAATACAAGATTTTAAATCTTACATCTGAATAGTGGAGTCACTACAGGGTTTTTTTTGGGGGGGGGGTGTTAACTTTTGTATTTTTTTCTCTCTGCAGTGGTAGTTCCGGTGTGAATTGCGTAATGAGAGGGCGGGGTGGAAGGACATTATACCCAATAGAGGGCTTTCACAAGCCTCGAGATAACACAGTCTTCTTTTTTTAACCAGATATTTTTTCTAAGGGAAAAAGAGCAGCTTCAAAGAGAGGAAAAACTACTTTATGGATGCTTTTGAAAAGTTTATGGATGCTTTTTAAACACATTATCAGTATGTATAGACTTCAAGGACTGTGAGAACTTATCAACCATTACTTCTTTGAAAAGAATAAGCAAGTACTGATAAGACACTGCAGCAATGAATGGAGCAAAGCACCCCAGAAATGCAGAACTCGGTCACCACTACCTGGAGCAGTAACCACCACCACAGCTTAGTACAAAGCCAAAGAAATCCAATGGCATTGCTAAGTTCCCACACTTAACATACTTTAAGAAATGGCAACTTTCTTACATTTCCCATTTTCTTAATCATAGTATTTATTTCTCATATTCAAAGTATGTTTTTAGACCTCTATAGGCAAAATCCAGTCAAAGTTAATTCACCCATTGCTGAAATTGTTCCTTGAAACTAACAGCAGTTAAAACTTAATTGCTTAACTCCTCAGGCTGGTGCCCTTAGCTGCTATAAAATAATGGAACAATACTGTGCAAAATGTTTCTCTTTCAGAATGCCTTCCAAACAAATAGTGCACAGCAGACAACTCCAATAGCCTGCAGCTGTCTCCAAGTGTTGCAACCGAAAATTCCCTGATAGATTTTACCACATATGGCCTAGAATCTGCTGAGGGTGGTTGACTGAGTATAAACCATCTAGCTGCACCTGGACAAAAATATTCTGCTTCACCTTGAAAAGCTTTTTGTTAAACCAAGCATTTTTGTACGTATATCTAGGAGAAGCAAAGGGGAACATGTGCCTGCACATATTTGTTGTGTAAGACATCAACCTCCCTAAGGAATATGGTCATTAATTTTGCCACTCAAATGTTTCTGCCAATCTGATTTTTCATTCCTCTTCTCATCTACACATTTGTAAAAGTAATTCAAATGCATGCTGAGGCCAGGGTTAATTATTGTATCAGGCTTCTTACCAGATAATGACATTTCCTCTCATCTTCCTTGTTTTATAAGCAATGGCTGTTCTATTCACTCTGTAAGCTTTACTAAGCCCAGGAAAAAGTCCTTCTATAATCTATTTTTAGCAATGATCACATCAGATTTAGATTACAGTCAATTAAGTACAAGATTTTAGCAATGGCAGTACACGGGGAAAAATATGGCTTTAGTTACACCGGTGCAGACCCATTGAACAAAGAAT